GGTGCAGAGCTGGATCAGATAACAGACGCAATAACTACTAAAAAGGCTAGTAGTTTGAGGGTTTTTCTTGACTCGTGTTTATTAAAAGTTCCATTTTCTTGAGGGTCCATTCAGACATGGGGTCGTTGAGGCTGAGGTCTGTGTTTAGATTTAGATTTAAAAATGGGTGTCCATGTCACGGATGTTACATCAATCCCAAAATGATGTGAACCATTTTTTAAATACCCAAACATACAACAGTTTTTCTATAATGAAAAAGAGAGAAGCGAGAGCAAAGAAATCTGCGAGGTAAGGGCAGTTTGGCTTCACTGGATGAGGAGTGTAATGAGAAGAAAGAATTTTTTTTCCAATACACCCTGGACAAGAACATCAAAAAATTTTAAATGAATCTCTAATGGTCTACTACTTATACTTAGGTAAAAGCAGGGTTAATTATTTAATTTAATTTTGTTTGTTTAGTTGTATTAGATATTGCAGTTTATTATTAGTTCATTTTGAATTGTATATAACAGGTGTTATATTTTCTAATGGCTAGTTGGGATTATGGTTATGGAAATTGGTTTGTTCGGTTTTGTATGTATGTGTTCAAATTATAGTATGCTAAGAATGTGTGTACTTCATTTTTTTAAATAACAAAAGCACTGTTTTTCACAGGATTTAAAGAGACTATGGTGGGTGGGCCTCGGACCCTATCGGGGTGTCCAGGGGCATGCCCCCCCAGAAGAAAATTTTATAGTTAAATGCATCATTTTGTGCAAAATTAAGAGGCTATCTATGAAGAACTTTGCACTCTTGTAAACAATGTTGTGCTCTAGTAAACAATTTGATCATAAACCCATTTGTAGAGCTATAAATGGTGATGAAACAGCAACAAAAGTCAACAAGAGTCAAGTTAATTTAATGTTTTTCCAGCAACCCTAAATCAAAGTAAGTAAGTAAGTAAGTAAGTAAGTAAGTAAGTAAGTCATTTCCATAACATTTTATTGCTGTTGTTTTTTTGTTTTATTTACTTTTAATGGACACATTTAATATGGTTTCTACTTTCTGTGAATATAATCCAATTAATCTTATTTCCATACTGCACACCTTGTTTTGTAGGGGTGGAAATCTCTAGGCACCTCATGATTTGATTAGGATTCAGAGGGCTGCGATGCGATTATAAAACGATTATTGATGCACCTTGATGCATCTTTTTTTTCCTATGTGATTTCTGGATAATTACTATGCATTTAATTTGCACATTGGAATCTAAAAGAAACTCCTTAACTTAAAAGGACTAGCTTGTTTCCCTAATTTACTTTACTAACCACAGCTCCTCCTGATCACCACCTTCTTCTCTTTAATAAGCAGTTTTCAGACAGAAATGTGAAATATAATTTAACGAGTATCAGGATGTACAGTATGTGAACAGGACAGAGATGTTCACCAGTTTAACTTGTACCTGATGTCCTCAACCCTGGACAGGTAAGTAGTAATGGCATACAGCTAACAATGTTTACTTTGTTACTGATTTACATAACGTTACATAACTTAGCAGCTGTACAAGGGAGATGTTAGCTCACGCTCATTTTCCCAGCAGTTGGGGAAACAACAGACTTTTATTAATGGACACTGACCCACTGCTCATTTACTACCAGACTGAAACTTACCTCCTTCGCTAACTTTCACCGTCATGTTCTGCTGCTCTCTCTCTCATTCGCACAGCCTCACACACAGGATACACAGAGAGCTTGCCAGGCATTGCGTGTCACCATGCTCGCACAATGTGCGATTTAAAATCATTACTTGCACATTGATATTAATGATTGTGTGACATTGAAGTAGGGTGGTTATTCATTCCGCAGCGGAACTGTGCCGAATACAGGGAGAGCACTGGTCTCTTGTTATGTACGTGCCACAGATGTTTAAATAATCAATTTTTTGACATTTGTTAATCAAGTCAGAATCTTCCACATCCGCATTGCGATGCATCGAAGAATCGATTTTTTCTCCCACCCCTATTATTTTGAAAACCGGGTGTTGTCCAAGTGTATCCACGCACTAAATTCATCAAGTCCGACCCAATCTGATAAATAATGTTGTATGTGGTTCTCGTATCGCGTAACATGAAGACTTCCTAGTTTCTCTTCAGGTAGGACTCTCATTCTGCAACACTTGTCTTTGTAAAGAGAGAAACTGACAGGATAAAGTCGCTAACCTGCTTGTCAGCTCACACTGGTCCGTTTCAGTGGATTTACCATAAAGGTTTTAATACGTGTGCATTCCAAATTTAGGAGCGGCTAGCTTAATTGCCTTCTCACAAACGACTGACCTTAAAAGAAAAGTGGTTGTCTCGAGTCGGATGCCAAAGTGTGTGAGCGTGCGAGCTTACAGCAGCGCCCACAAAACACAACTTAAGAGGTCTGAAATGTTACTATGAGATGTGTAAAAATATTTCCGGTTCATTGTGAAACTATGGCGGTACAAATTAGACTGTGGCGGGCCGCCATGGTCTCGTTAATTAATGGGAAACACTGACAAAAGCCCAGGACAAACACTTTAGTTTAATGTTTCGTAATTACATTAAAGGGCTTGATCACCATTGCAAAATCAGCATACTCCAATTTTCCATCCATTATTCACTTTCTGTAATGTGGCATATTTGTAGCTGTGCTCACGACAAGAAGATGGATTTCGCAACAGCAAAACAACTTTGTTGTATTTTGCCGAAAAACTTAAAAAAATAGGACCACAGATGGCGAATACAGTACATCCATAACACAAAAGAAGCACTTGTATTGTATACAGTACAGGGATGCATGTGGACGTCACATCACACGGTCCCTCGTGGCCACGCGGATGTGGCAACCATGAATTGGTTTTTAGATGTGTGAGGACAAAACATCTGGGTGAAAGTCAGTTTAACTAAATGTGCTGTTTTTTTAATCTGTAAAAACCCAAACCACAAGCCTTAAATATATAAAAAGGAACAAAAGAAAGAATTTTAGTGAGGAGGAGAGATGGATATGTAGAGAGAGGAATTAAGTACGGAAGGTAATTTGGCCAAAGAGAGAAAAATGCACACAAACAAAAAGCAACCCAGTGTGTGTGTGTGCATTTCCGAGGGACATCAGGCTTTATAGAGTCCATCAACACAGCAGGAGGAAAAGAAATCACTGCTGCTGGAGGAAGTGCTAATGGCTCTGCACTATGTGTGTGCTGCTTTGTGTGTGTGTGTGTGTGTGTGCGCTGATTGATCGAACATGCCAAGTCCATCTCGGCATCCCCTGATGGGAGCCAGAGTGTGAAATTGCCAAAAAGGCAAACAGCAAGTAATCAGGACAGACACACGCATCCACAAACAGACCACACACACACACATTCCTTTACCATTCATCACTCTCATATTTCTCATTATCTCTCTCCTTCACACACATAGAATCACGCACATGCTCATTCACACACGTCCACTTGTTCATCGTCACCTTCCTTCTGTGATTATGTGTATTATTGATGGCTGTTATCCACTTTACTCCCTCTCCGCTCAGAGTGTCTCTTTGTATCTGCGTCAACGGCTAAATGCATCACACACAAGCATACACACACACACACACACCACAAAAACACTGTCATAAATGGATCAATCATTGAGAAAAGTTAATTAGAGATCAGTTGTGTTTGCTTTTCTTTCTCTCTCTCCAGCAGTGTTTGTATGTGTGTTACCAGGCGTCTCCAGGCAGTAGCAGATACTTTCCCCATCCTACACTACAAACTCACATTTATAACAAAGACTTCAGAGCAGTGTGTGTGTGTGTGTGTGTGTGTGTGTGTGTGTGTGTGTGTGTGTGTGAGAGACACATTTAGCCGCATAGTAACCAAATGCGTCCAAGCTTTCGGTTATCAAACAAGAAAAAAAATTGCTTTGTGTGTGTTTGTGTGTGTGTTCAGTCATCAGATTAAAGCTCGACTTTGCCTGCTGCTCCTGTGGGACTCTGTAAGTGATTTGTGGTGCTTCTGCTGTCCGAAGGGAGAGTATTTGCAGAGATTTCTAGGTGAGAAAAATGGGTCAATTTTTGATCCGAAAACTAGGAAGCACACTGCCAGAAGCAGCAGAAAATGCTTCTGTTACTGTTCTGTATGTGATGGTTTATTCCTTTAAACTAAATAGATCAAAATATCTATATACTATGTTAGCTGATATGCAGTGCAAATGCATTGTGGTATAATGTCAGGGTATATATGTACATTGTAGGGTGTAGGATTGTTGTACTGGTTACAGAATATAGTTTGGAGTGTAATACTTATTTTGGGTGTTTAGGCTGTAGAATTAATTTCCATAAAGGAAATTAATTTAGTCAGGGGTGCAAACAAAACACAGAAGTAGTACAAAAATACATACCTACAGCAACTAACCCTTCTCCTCCAATCCACTAACACAACACACATCCATGTAAGACTCATCACAAAGTCAGAACAATCCCAGTTTAGGTTTTGTGGGGCATTATACAGAACCCCTAGATCCAACCTAAATTGCAGGCTGCAGTTTGTACAGAAAAAAGCACAGAAACTGATGACAAAGCCAAATTTGGTGAAATGGTGTATCGAGAGACAAGTGAGTAACAGGGGCTGTAAACTCTATGTGAACTTCAGCTAAGCTGTGGTTCTACACTGAAATATGGATACTAACACAGTAAGTCTCTTAGTCAAGGCTCACTCACACTGCATTCTTTTTCCATTTTATTGTGCTTTTTGAAATCATTATCTTTACTTTTCTTTGTTTGGATTCCTCAAATCAAAATTATTGAATAGAAATAATCACAATAATCTGTAGTGACTTTATCAGAAGGCAAATGATCACAATGCCTTATCACCACACACACTGTGTGATTTTATGTGGCAACTATCAACCACAACTGACTGTTGTTGTGGACTGTAGGAGGTACGACAGAGGGAGCAGGGTAAGGAGTATAGCGCTCATGTTAGATTTAAAATAGAGGAGTGTAAAGGAAGACAGTACTCACAGTCGAGACAGGGCTTCATTCTTCTGAAACAGCAGCTCTGGAAATTGACTGAGACGGTTCTTGTTGAGGCGACTGAATGGAAAAAAACAATAACATGTTTGATTGAAAAACCTGTAGTGGAAATGTCTCCTTCAATCTTTATACATGTAAATATGTGTGAATGTCTGTGTGTGCTCTCACAGTCTCTCAAGCTCCTTCAGTTCATCGAAAGCTCCTCTCTCAACATTACTGATCTGGTTCTCCATCAGATGACTGCAATAAAAAAACATTACATTATCGTTCATTTCTTATCACAACACAAGGTTGTAAAACAAGATGTAATTCCTATTATGCTACTCACAAAAACCAATGTATATACAGTAGATGGGTGAATAAGTCCACCCAAAGGGAGTTCTCATCTGCCACAGAAAACACAGCCTTTTCCTTATGTTCTCTGTGACGTCACAGCAAAATGCGCGTCATAATGCTCGCCTAGCGGCTAGTCTACATGAATAGAATTTGCAATAAAATCTGATGAAAAGTTCAAAAGTTTGACAACTTTGCCACAAAATAAGGTTTAAAAAGAGTTTTTCCTCGACCAGTTATACTTCTACTACGCGTGCGTCACCACTTCCGCGCATGCGCAGTGGAAGAATAACAGACGCTTACGTCAGTGGAACCACAAGATTGGCTGAAATATGATTGCTGCTTTGGCTATTAAAAGCAGGAGATTGGCTTTCTAGCGGGAGGGACGGGATAACCGCCATCTTTGCTGTTACGGGCTTTCCCCGTATAGATGGATTGAGGATGTGATTGAGTGGCGTGTCTCCTCTAAAATGTCTCTGGAACTGAGCATGTGCAACTCCCAACAAAGATCTTGTAGAGGTAAGATGTATCACTCCATAGCTAAAACGGAGCTTTCAACACACAGGGTGGAAAGAGGTCTTGCAGCAATGTGCAGTATGACAAAAATATGGTGTTTATTAAAAATAAAACAATGTTAACCTGTTCTGGTACAACCCCTAAATAAAATGATGAACTTGAAAATTAGCATAATATGACAACTTTAAGAATCGATTCAGAGACTTACTCGTATTATAGTCTTGAAGCAGTGCAAATGGCAAAGCAGCAAATACACAGTTGCACCAAAATAACCACAAAGCTTATTAAATAAATATTTGGCCATTTGACCACATTAAAAACATTATTCAGGCATACAGTGTTTATCGTTAGTAAACATCAGTAACATCAGCGCATCAAGCAAATTATTCGAAACTAATTATGACAAGAGGGTGGCATCAATTTGCCATTTGGTTAAAAAAAAAAAAAGAGAGCACTTCATTATTTTGTGAAGACATTATAAGCAAACTGATTTTATTCATTAAACCCAGGCTGTGCACAAAGCAAAACAAAAGACAAAATATAACATCCATCACCCTGTCATTAATCAAATTGAAAAAAACAAAGCCTCAACACACATTATTTCACCCACAGTTGCTGCTGGGATCTGCGCATTTGACAAATACACTCCACAGACTCCCACATCATAAACCTCTGGTGTAACACTCAATCCCCTCCTGACGGCAACGAGCCCCAGGCTCCCAGCAGGCTGCTAATCTGTTTTAAGCAGGCCTCCGGAGATGTCATTAGTTCCTGGCATGTCATCCTTTTCACACCTCACGTCCATCACTGGCACTCAGCACAGTCCCACTCCTCAGGTTAACAGAGGAAACCACCATCAGCGCAGCTTCTCCCAGAGGGCACTGTGCTTCCAGGTCAAAAGGTCACAGATAAACCCCTCCCTGTTGTAAATTTGACTGACACTGACACCGCACAAGCACCTCTGGGTGGCTCATGTGTCACTGCTGAGATTTAGCATCATTCTGTTCCCTCTGGCTTTTTGACGGCACTACAAGATTCTCACATCCCTATGAGACCTAAAACTAGCAAAGAAATGTGGGAAAGAATCTCTGCTGAATACCGACAATCTTTTGCCCTGTCAACAAAGAGCCTGACAGCTCTGAGAGAAGGTTTAGGGCTCTGTATATATTTTGAACAGGAAAGAAAAATTGCACAAATTCGAAGTTGTTCCGCATAACACTGACATCTAAAACGTAATTTGGCAAACACTTTGGTAAAACTGGGGTGACTGACGCTCTGAACGAGAATTCAGCGGATGAGAAGCTAAATTCTAGGTGAACCAAGGGCGTCACTTTGTGTTGAAAAGAGGTGGGGACATAAGGGCTCAGATTAGGAGCGTGATGATACATTTGGGTCATGAGACGTGACGATGTAGGAGAATTTTGAATAAGTATTTGATGCTGAAATATATGAGCAGGGGGTCAGTTTTTGAGCAACACGTAATTTCCTGCATTCTGGAGACATTTTCTGCTCCAATTTATGGTGGAAATGTCTTTTTTTATATGAAGAGAAACTATATTTAAATTGCATGTTTTCTTATTGTGCAAATAAACCTTTCTCAAAGCATCTTCATTTCTTGCTGCACACTTGGGGACTAAACCAGCCATTTCAAACTGTGGTGAGGCCTTGTCCCCAGCATCCCCAGTGTAAATGACACCATATGAGCTGAGCGAGTAAATGTGGCTGTGACTTACAGGACTCTGAGGTGTTTGAGACCAGAGAAGTCTGTCTTGCTGATGACTGTCAGGTTGTTTCCGTTCAGATCACTAAAAAACAAACAAAGACAACAGCAGTTTAGAGAACAGGATGTAAACTGAGTACATTCATTTAATCAGTGGCATGAGAAATGCACACTATAACATGAAAGAGAAATGTTAATACTGACGTGTGTGCATATCAAACACAAAAACACAACCACATAAATGTTAATATATTAATATTGTGAGAAAATATTGATTTAAATTGATCTTCATAAAAACGGAAGACACAGCTTTTAAAAGTTGCCACCAAAAACAGTACAGACGCAACATTACTAGTCAACATTGGTTACACTTCAACAGGACCGCCCAAAAGATGCGAAAAAAAATCTGTCATCTTCTGTTTCTTACACTCATAGAATAAATGCATTTTGTATGAAATGGACATAAATTATGACTCAACCACTCATTTTGTGCACCTTTAGTGCGGTCTCACAACAGCGGTGTCATGTTGCTAACAGAACTTCAAGAGCCTACTCCTAAAAAAAGCAGCAATCTTGTCACATCGGGACGTCAAGGTACTGGACCTTGACTACGGTCTTCTGTCTGCAGAGTAGTGTATTGCACTTTATTCTCTCACTTTTGAAAATATGTTAGTGGCCAAATTTAAAGGAATTCTCAAGTCAAACATTTGTGTATGGTTGTAGTCACTTTAAGAGTGGGATGCTAGCAGTCACTTTGCCAGGTAATTTGATATCATCCTCAAGCTCTAATTTATTCCGAAAATCCAATTTGGTGATGCAGGCTTTCATGGCTTATCAGCCGCTGTGGTCTGCAGCCAAAAAGTGAACTTCTGATTGAAAAAGTGTGGCAGATTAAGCTGCACTGGGACTCACTTTCTACAAGTTGTTTTAACGAAAAAGAAATCATACAAGCAAAGCTCTCTTCAAAGTCGGATTCTACCACTACTTCAGTGTTTCCTCGAGGACACTTTCTTTGAATTTACACTGTAAAAACATCTCTGTACTGTAAAGCACATTGTTTCTGTTCTTTCAAGTTATTTTCTCTCAGTTCGCAGTGAAGAAAGTCTGTTCTAAGAGAGTTCACTTTGAGGACAATCTGATTGTTCTTTTTTTTTTTATTACTTTAAATCAGCTGATGTCAGCTTAAAGTAGCAAGAAAACTGAGGAAACAGACTTTTGTTCAAACAGACTGTATGAGATTCCTTCCAAGATGAAACAGCTACTGTTTGACAAGAGTATCATGTTCATCCCCAACTCAAACTGACATGCTCTCCAATAATTTTTTCAACTGTTCTCTGTAAAAGCTTCACTCTACTGTTTCACTTACACAAGTGACTCAAGGTAGAGGCTTCAGATAAATGTCATTTTATAGACACATTTTAGGTATAAACTGTTGTCAGTGTGTGATATGTGACAGGCAGGCCGTATATCCAACAGCGTCGCAGAGGCTGCTCCTAGCGGGAGGGGTTTAATGCTATGACCACATTGTCTACTTTGATGGACGGCTGCGAAGAAAGACAGGGGATGATGTCACTCTTCCCACGAGGCTTTGTGGAAGGAGAGGTAAACTGAACCCTGTGCTAGTACCGGTGTGTTTATGTGTGTGTTGTGTGTGTGTAGAGTGTCATGTTCCTGTACTATGTAAAGGGTGGAACAGAGTGTGACCTTGTCCGTTCTGCTTGACACTGAACCAAACAAAGCCGGCATATTGTTGTCCCTGTGATTTTAGATAGCATGCTGGCGTTCCGTAGGCAAAAGAGGCGTGACGTGTAACACAACAGCGGCGGCGTCTAGTGTGAAGCATAACCTTGTTTTCTCAACGCAATATTTCCCCCCACCAGGTTTTTAAACTCTCACATGATGCACACCAGCTTTGAGTCAAGTCCTGCCCCCTACTCTGCCTCTGATAGGCCACCACTAACCCTAACCAACAGAAGCAATGAGTACTAGCCAAATAAGATGAGAGTTGTTTAAAATCTGGTGGGGAAACAATAATGCTTTCTAAACAATAATAACATTTTCAGTTGCTGTAGGTTAGCTGCTAACTTCTTTTTCTAGTTAGCTGCCAACTGCTGCTGCTAACTTCTTTATAAATCCCCTAGTGGTGGGTCGCACACGACATGTCAATAAAATGTCACACCCTTGTCCTGTCCTGACTATTGATACAGAAATGTTTCTATATCTATGTTTCTATATCCTTCCAGCTCCCCCATTATACACAGCCGTCGTCTCTGTTTACGGAATAACGGTGCAACATTCCCACCTTGAACAGGCTATATACAAGGTAACTTGTTTGTTTCCCCAGACAGTGTTTCCTTGCACAGCTGCTGCGGAGTGATAGAAAAGCAAGAGGAATTAGTACTATAAAGGCTGTAACTTTGGAATATGCCCATTTGATTTGACTAACTCACACAGTGTGTGACAAGTGCGCGTCTGCAAAAGTATATTCGCTAGGCAACAAATTAGGGCCAAATCATCTCTACTGAGACCAGAATGTGTTGGATTTTGCTAAGGCCGCAAGTAAAAAGTATTTTCATTATCGATAAGTTATTTTAATGATTAATTGATTAATCATTTTGTCTATAAAGTGTTGTAAAACAATGAAATATGCTTAATAGTATTTCAATGGGCGATAGGTTCCACTAGTTGTGATTTTTTTCAGCCTGCTGCTGACTTGCTGATTGGCTTCACTGTATTTTGCAGACGAGTAGTGTTAAATTTGAAGGTATGTGCACAACCAGTACACCAAATAAATACAGGATTTATACAGGATATATGCAAGCAAGTTACTAAAAGCAATTATATCAGGTATATCAGCACCATAACAAGGAATACTAAAACCTACATCCCAAAGAAAACAATCACAGTATCAGTTTTTTAACATCCCCGCCCTCTCTCTGAGGAGCCAGCAGGATTATAGAGCAGAGTAGCATAACTACAGGAATCACAATTTCTGCCTCCTGTCAATGATGGATTGCAGATGGATGCAACATATTGAGGGCAGGTATCTTGTGAACCGCAAAATGTTCAATATAGTTGCACTTTGGCCAAAAACCTGGAAGAAAATCATCTTTGGCTCTCGCAGCTGCTCAAGAAAGTCACACTAACCGTTAAGTAATTGCCTAATTTTGCGCACAGTTGCACAAGCTGGTATAGCAGATTGCTGCACTGGAGTCAAGACTATGACATTTGCATGTGGAAAATGTTTGAGGATGAAATAAACTCATCACATTAGAAAATACTATTTTTGGAGGTCTTACAGTCTGAAGAGGGAGGAGGAGGTAGCACTGAGTGTCTGGGGGGGAAGCAGAAGCAAGGCATTGGCTGGGACAGAGGGAGGGAAGGAAGGACGGATGGAGACGGGTCGTGGCGGGGGGTCCAGAATCACTCCCTGGATGCGTGCGAAATTACCCTGACAGTTAGACTGCAGAAGCAAAACAAGCATCACGAGGGAGAGAGATATACCGCCAGCGATGACCATATTTTCACACACCAAGAGCATGTATGGATGCTCAGAAACACACAAAGTCTGAAAATATCAGGCGCCAAATGCAAAGTGCTCATAAGATTTTTCTTCTTTGGCTGAGGAGAAGGAAAGAGACACGAGGGAACACATATACAGCCCTGATGAGGCGTGGTTAATGGAGTTTTGTGCAGCGTGGCCGGGTCAGGGGTCAGCTCAGCGACAGACTCCCCTCGAGTGGCGACTCTGCCAAACAATAGCTCATTAAAGCAGAACGCGTCTCACACACACACACAAACACATACACACAATCACAGCCTCAGTGGGCAGTGAGGCAGTTGATCCACTCAGCTCTGCTCTCCACTGTTAGATCTGACATGGAGGAAGAGAAGGAGGAGGGGGCGTTTGACTAAGATGATGAGATACATGGTGTGGGTGGGAAGGAAAAAAAATAAAGATAAAAAGACATACAGTGAGTAGAAGCACTGATCCTAAAGTAGAGCTGGGGATCAAACCAGAAATGTCCAAGAGTCGAGTATGAAAAACTGTCAAGTACCAGAAGAATGAATACCAGGTAATGAAAGCTAGGTCAAATTCCAAGTGTTGTCTACAAAAACTCAACACAAGTATTTGAAAAAATGTCAAACAATATCGTGCTCTAACCTGGAGAGAAGTGGACAGCGAGTGAGTATGTGAATAAATATTATCCTGAGCCGTCAGTACAGCAGGCCTATGTGCAGATGGAGCCAGATTAATTACAAGTCACAGAAAGTTTAATAAACTGTCACCTCGTCTCTCTAGCGCTCACATGCACAGGAGTGTACCAGTTGTGAGCCTCGTCCCAGCTTTTTGTTGCCTACATGGAATACATAACCCAGTTTTCCATATCCCTGTTGTCTGGTTGGCAAACATGGATTCCACATTTAATAAATCCAAACAAATCAATAGGTCAACATCTAAACGATATACGATATAACGATTACAATCCCTTATGACGAAGGTCACATAAAAGATACTGAAGAGGAAATAGGACATGTGTCTTGAAAGTGGTCCAATATAAAGATGCAAAATGTGAGCACGAAATATTGGCCATTAACAGCTTCCATCCATATCTGCTTTTACAAATCCTTTGAAACATACAGATACAACACACAGGGCGGTAGAAGACATTATGAGCATGCATTTGGCCAATCGATGCATTATGGCTCATTTTAATCTGCTAATCAATGGAGCTTCTGTGAGGGATGCTGGAACCAGTTAAGTGTCAAGATATGCACATAAAGCTTAAACAAAATCCTCCTTCCCACACACACACACACACACACACACACACACATACACACACACACGAGAGAGAGAGACAAACAGAGCAATAATATAACTCAACTGGTCTGAATAAACAACAATAAAACCAACACTTATCCGCTCCATCACCTATTTATTATCCAGCAATCCAATTCAACCCGGAACCTTCATATGATCGGGATTTGTTTTATTTGCGGTGGAACAGACACTAAAATTGAGCATTTGTTTTGTTGGGGTCCACCCGGTTAGAGCAGACAGCCCAAGAACTGGCTTCTTTA